TATACTTCCGCGATCTAACACAAAAAGCTTTATCATGAATAATATTGGTCGCGAAAGCCTGCGTGTTAAACAAGTGATAACTCTACGAAGTGGCCTATCATGTGGAAATAGCAGCAAAATTATCTAAATAATCTAAACATCGAGTGCTGCTAACCATTACAAACAGCATCCACAGCCAAGTTACTCCTCGGGGTTCAACAGCAGCTGATCGATTCCTTGATTCATTGATGCCTCGCCGGGAATTGTGTGCGTAAGAATAGATCGTTTTAAATTCAGGGAAATTATTAGCAAATCCCAAGCAAATGTTGCGTTTCAGAACACGAAACGAACACGGACGATGCAAACGAGACGCGGCGCTGGAGACGGATAACACCCGCGGTTTGCTCCGTACGGCGCGAACGAAGTTCAACGCAGGGTACACGATACGGACACACGGTACGGACACACGAGACGCAACACGGAACGCAGACACTGCAAACGAGACGGAACAAAGGGCCTACGAGACGGGAAACACACGAGACAGACGATGCAAATGAAACGTCTTCGAAAAATCTCAGCACATGGATCAATAACAGCCTGGGTCTTTAAAGGAAACCAAAAATGCATTGCAGGCAACGTTTCGGGCAATGCCCTTCATCGTAGCGCGCTGCTTTCTTGGGCATGGCTGCCGATGACGGATCCATTTCGGACGTTCGCGCGTGCCAATCGGCGCATCGTCATTAATCCCGCGCCAGATGCGAAGAGCAATCCCACGGCTTTCGGAATAGACCGTCAAGTCTGACATATCGACATTCGTTTAACAACCTTGGCTCGGTTGCACCTATCGTGCGTGTAATGAATCGTTATCTACCCACGAGGGAGGGGGATAAGATAGCGGTGAGAGCCCACGTGTTCTGTCACGAACGGCTCGAAGAATCCTGACGCTGCTAAACAAAACGAATTCTTATTTACCAGATAAAGCCAAACTGAGCGATTAGCTCGTTGTCCAAAGGCGACCTGGCCACGCGTGATAGCTCATCGAAGCGGCTGATATCATCACCACACCGTGCGAATTTATAGTTGCAGCCAACATGTACCTAAGCGCGCGTTCGATAATTATAAAACGTTGCGGGTAGTTGGAGGGCAAGCCCGGAGGAGCAATCCGGAGAATAATCCACTCGACCACCACGAGGAAGAGAGTGAGAGAGAGAGAGAGAAAAACACGTGGACTCCAAATATACAAACACGCATCGCCAGGATCGTTCACTCAAATTATGCTGGAATTACGCACTCCCCCAAGGACGATTAGGGCGAGTTGAATATACAGGGCCAAGAGACCTGTGAATGAGCTTCCCCTGCCGTCTGCTTATTTATTGGTCACGTGATATACAAGCTGGGCGTGAAATCCCTACACCCCCTCGCTCGCACCGATTCAACGCGGTCACGGGGTGTATAGTAGGGCTGAACGATTGATCGATTTTAAATCGAAATCGCAATTTGAAACAATGCGATTAGTAAATCGCAAAGGCTGCGATTTTTTTGCGATTTGAAAAGTTCCGTTACTTTCTTATTGGAATTGTTAAAGAAAGCTGTCGCTGGTGTGGACCAATCAGTTTCAAATACAATGCACATACTGTCAGAGCATGTTTTTTTTTGTTTGCATATCCACCACAAGTCTGTGTGGTGAATGCAGACATGATTCCTTGCAAAAGTTTCAGTTTGGCGTTTTAACATCTGTTTTATTGCCAGAAAGGGGAAAACCCTATTATCATCTGGAATTGTTTTATCATTTATTATTGTAACTTTATGTATTCAACTTAACAATTGTTCTATGTGTGATTGTTATATTTCAAGTAAAACAGTTCAATAAATACATGTTGGAAGCAATTAATATCTTTTAAATTCTCATCCTTGCATTAGAATATATAGAGCAGTTCATATTTTGATGGTATCATGTGGTAATGCTCCATCACGTGTTTTAAATCTATTCCACAGTGAATATTGAACTGAAGCTTGCCTTTAAATTTTTTAATCGAAAATCAAATCGCAATGTCAGAAAAATCGCAATTAGATATTTTCCCCAAATCGTTCAGCCCGAGTGTATAGGGGACTCCCCGCCTATTCAAACCCACACACACAATCTGTTGGGCCCCCGCTCCCCACTCCCTCCCTCCCTCTCCTCCTTCTCAACGGCCGGGATCACCCTGGGGGGCGCCCCCTTCCCCCGCCCGCATTGTGTGAGGGGGCGCGGTGCGGGGCTGCCAAGGAACAAAAGCTGCGAATGAATAAGGCAGCCGGGGATTGGCACCCAAGGGACGAAGGGGTGTGGGGTGTCGGGGGTGGGGTGGAGGGATGGGGTGGAGGGTCGAGGGATGGGATGGGAGGTGGGGTGGGAGGTGGGTTGGGGGGCCCCCCACTGAAAAAAACACAAAGAGAAAAAAAGGATCCCGAGACACACCCGGCACTTGTGGATGATGGGCAACTCGGGGACCGCAGCTACCATGGCAACGGACTGGCAAGTGGGGGGGGGGGGGGGGTCAATGTCCACCAATGGAAGAGTTTAGATTTTTGGTTCAGATTCTAATACGAAACTTCATTCGTCAATTTGCCATCCCCCCAGACACAGCGCACTGATAAACGAATATTTAATTATTTTACTAGGCAAGGCTGTTATAGCTGTCAGAAGCGACTTGGCTATCACAAATGACAGCTCAACGAAGTTGGCTTATCATCGTATGGAAATTGATAGCAGCCAACTACTCTACAAACGCGTGATGTCGATTCTAAATGTGGAGGGAAAAATCGGAGGACCCGGAGAAAAATCTACACACAGCCAAGGGTAAGAACTTGCAAACTCCAAATATACAGCAAGCGTCAGGATCAGGTTCGGACCCACGACCTCCTATACACCAGGCGAGGTAGTTAACATCCCCTAGCCACCGTGATGATGATGAGAGACAGAGAGACACGCAAACTCCAAATAGACAGGCGTCAGGGTCGGGATCGAACCCGCGACCTCCTGTACACCAGGCGAGGTAATTACCATCCCCTAGCCACCGTGATGATGATGAGAGACAGAGAGACACGCAAACTACAAATATACAGCAGGCGTTAGGATCAGGATCGAACCCACGACCTCCTGCATACCAGGCGAGGTAGTGAACATCTCCTAGCCACCGTGATGATGAGAGAGACACGCAAACTCCAAACATACAGGCGTCAGGGTCGGGTCGAACCCACGACCTCCTGTATACCAGGCGAGGTAGTCAACATCTCGCCACCGCCTGATCAAGGGCCATCGCCCAAAACGTTCACGACCGTCACATACCTCGCTTGCTCTAGTTGCGCAATCTCTCTTGACTGGGCCCGTTCGTGGCAATATCGACGTTGTTGTCTTCGCTGTTGCTGCTGGCGCTGCTGTGCTCACACAGCACCACGGATCTCCCGTGTAAAATAGCCGGGAAGCTGGCTAAACGGGATCATCATCCGTGTGACCACGGAAATAACCCGACTCAACATTTTTCTCAGGGCCCCACAGAGTAAAGTGTAACTTTAAAGACATCTCTCTCGACACCCTGAATGCGGCACATTGCCCACACGTAAAGCTGTGACGTACGTGATTGTTTACGATTAATTTGGTGTATTTTCGTATATATTTTTTTATACACTGGATTTGTTTCACGACTGCCAGCACGGTCACTTTCATTCTTTGAATCCAGCAGGAAGGTGCGAGATCTGTGGCGCGTTGCGCGGAGAAATCACACGTCGAGTACTGCTGCCCGTAAACCGTGCCGCTTCCAAGTGACATACACTGAATTCCTCACTCGAGGTAGTTTACACAACTACCACTGACCAACCAGTGAGCTGCCTCCTTCTCTTGTCCTGGAGGCCAGTTGGCCGAAAGGTCAAGTGCTTATTTTCACCTCGGTGACAATTTAAAAACAAAATGCTCCTTAATTGTTTATAGGAAGCTTATTATTTTATTTAAAGCTGTCTCTGGTGTGGACCAATCAGTTTCAAAGACAACGCAACATACTCTCGGAGTATGTTTTTGTTTGCATTCTGACCACAAATATTGTGGTTAATGCAGACCGTGATTCCGTGTAAAAGGTTTCACTTTGGTGTTTTAAACATCTTAACACCTGTTTGTAGCCGGAAAAAAGGGGAAAACCTATTCTCAAGCCTATTATTCATCGTAAAGGTTCGACGAAGCAGTGAATTTAACATAAAAAAAACGATTTAAGGGACTGCAGTTTGTAATGGGGCAGGAAGCAGTAGTGGTGTCAAAGTGGTTAGGGCACTGCACTATACACCCCGTGACCCGAGTTCAATTACTCGTCACAGCTAGTTCAGGGATATCTGAACCAAGTCCTTGACCCCACCCAACCATCACCAACCCGCACAAACTCACCCGGCGTGACGAATTATGGTTAAAGCGATCTTCATTACCACGACGGCAAAGGGAGGGCCTTCAACCAGTAGTGGATCGGCACAAACGGCTGTAAAAAAATGTTGCTACTGTATGTATGGCCATAACAGCCAAATAGAAAGGTTTTAAATGTTGTGGGTTTACTCTGCAACACACCAGTGTGCTGTACTAGTTACACATTGGCATGTTTTGTTTACGTGCCATACCAGACTAATTGGCTGTGTCGAGTGGTGGCGGGTTTAACAACGCGTTTACATTTACGCGATGTAACCCAAAACACCTCCATGGATAATAACAAAAAATAAGCAAGTTCTGAAAGAAACGTGGCAGTGGCGTTACAACCACCACACCCGGGGAAGAAACTTCTGGCGACGCGCATCACGCACGCCGCTCAACAACGGACGAGCGGCTGGGACACTCGTGGCGCTGACGCTTCTTGGCTGCAGAGGCCGGCGGCGTCAATTCGTAGTCGGGAGATCGCAAAGATCGCCGCTCGAGGAGCCGCCGCCGCACAGGCCGCCTCGAGCTTGCGGCCACGAGACGGCGTGCGCGCAACAGAAACACTCGCGCGGCACACACGGGAAGGAAGCCGGTTTTAGTATCTAACACTTTATTACGTGACATCGCGACACGGGTATTCACAAGAGTCGTACCACGTGCCTTCGCTTCAGTGACAGCAACAGCCCAGGGGGGTTGGGGGGGTGGAGGAATAGGGGGGGGGGGTCCCCCAACTTTACAATTAATTAATAAACAGCCCCCCACCCCAACTCCCACACTATAATTGTAGTTAAAACGGTATCGCTTGCATTGAAGAACAGCCTCTCCGCTGTGCGCGTCTCCCGCGAGCTCGTCCCGCATAGGGCAAATTTAAAACAGCAACTCTGGTGAAAACACAGAGGCACACGCGGGGAGCTCTCGCACCCACCGCCACTGCTCCCCCGCGTCGCAAGGCAGTCGAAGGAGAGTCCTGAGACCACCTCTCGCCGGCTGAGCGAAACATCTTCTTGAGTGGCCGGTTTTTATTATTATTTTTGTTGTTGTATTAACACGCTCTAAAAAGCCCCCCCCCCCCTCCTCCACCTCTTCAAACTCTTGAGTGCAGCGGCTTCTCAACTCCAGTCCATCCATCACGACCCCACCAACCTCTCCCCCCACACCGACCAACCCCTCCGATCGCTTTTATTCACACACACACATGGCGCCGTGGAGCGCTGCGTATGCTTTCTGCTTGGAAAAGCACACACACGCGCAGCTGTGGCGTGGTGGCGAGGACTGAAGTCGAGAAACAGTGGCGCATGTGCACGTCTACCCACCCCCCGTGCTTTAATCTACGCACATGTAAAGAACCCATTGCCAATCCACTGCTGGATGAAGGCCTCCTCCTCCTCACTCGGGGTGGTTTCGCGAGAGTCATTCGACTTCGCCACGCAGTGCGAGTTGGCGAAGGCGGGCGGGGGAGGCGTAGAAAGTGGCAGCATATCAGGTACAGTGCAACAATTGTCATTTGCCGAAATTGCCCTCTCTACTGCTGCTGCTGCCGCCAATGTTAACCTATCACCAGGACGAGGAAAGTGGGACGTTTAACTTCGGATCGTCGATATGCACGCACGTGCTATCACGCGACAATTTACCCGGCCAAGCGTTCGGCACGACGCGCCTTTCCGAATGCTGGCCTAAAGTCGACGGGCTGTCACAATACAGGCGTGCTGCATCACCAACCAGTGTGAGATCGCGCACGTCTTCCAAACAAAGCCTGACCGTCTACGCGTCAGCACTCGAAATGTTGAGACGTCGGCTCGACCTCACAGGCCCCCCCCACCTCCCTCGCCTGTCAACATCATTGAATCACAAGCAGCGCCATCCTATCTCACCGTCTCGTTCTCGCGATAACAGCATCCGGTGGTCGTACCTGTTCAGCTTTTTTTGCAATGGTCAAATACTAGGTTACTCTTTAAAACAAAACAAAAAAAAACCCCACCGAAAAACAACTCGAGACTAATCTTGCGGAATGTACTTTTAAAACGTACAGCACTTCAAAAGAGGGAATCGTCATACACGAAGGCGTTCAAAGCAGGCACAGTGGGGTGGGTGGCTCATGGCCAGCCACACAAACACGAGGTCCGTTCGCCCAAGTGGCCACGGTAACCCTGGGAAGAGCCCGAGCCGCGGTGACAGAAACACGACTCCACAGAACGCGGCCCCGCAAGGGGATTGAACGCTTCGTGGGAATGTACGAGTTGTTTGGGGAGGGGGGGGGTGTTGTTGGGTTTATTGTTATGGAACGAGACTTTAAAAACATGTCCAGTTAGATCACACCCAAACGTTGCACGCAGTTCAATTCCCGCACGAGTTTGTCTGCGTGATGGTTATTAAATCCCGGCTGACCGCTTTTCACCATTTCTTTCCCAGCCAGGTTCTGTTTCGTTGGTCACTCGGGGGCAGAATTATCATCGCTCCCAACGCCCGCACAATTACAAAATGCGCCCCCCCCCCCCCACCGCATGAGGAAGTTCCCCGTGTAGTGATTTCACAAAACCGGTCGGTGCCCAACAAGTGCAGGCACAGCTGCCTCCCGCCAACCTCCACGGGGACTTGTCATGCCATGCGTGTAAACGCGACTCGTACACAACGCGTCCAAACCCACTCGCTCACGCATCCCACCACACCGCCGTAGTGGCCACAGAGGCCTTAGCAACCAGCAGCCAATCGCAACGATCACCGAGGGGCGACGATCATCAGGCTGGCGCCGTGCCACCGTGGTGTGGAGCCAAGTTCGCAGGGAGATGAAGACTTCTCAAGCTCCAGTCCTCGCCACCGCCAGTACTGTACAAGGTGTTTTCCTGCTTACCAATCCCGCTTAAACTGCGACTGAAACGCGCTTGGTAAGACACGCAAAAGGCACAGAGGTGGGGGCGGGGCGGGGGGCACGACGACTGGGTGGTCGAGAAAGTTCCGACGAGCAACGCTGCTGCTGTGACCCTGGCAGCATCGCGGCGATGGGATTTGGCTGCCCACGACGGCCATTTGGCAAATCTCAAAGAGACTCGCGTGAATACGCAGAGCTGCATTTCCATGACCACTCCACTTGGCCACGCCAAGGAATGGCTCGTTGAGCATTGCGGCATCGACGGCACGAAGGCGATCCGTGTCCCCAGAAACGACGGGTAACGAGGTTTCATGGGGACAACCCTTCACGCTCACCCCACCCCCCACAGCACCGACGTGACTTCATAAAAGTTTTTAATATTTAAAAGAGGGCTCGGGATGTTAGGCTCTCCAAAGCGAGTACCTATTCGTCCTGTAATTTTCACCGTGTGTTTCAATGACATCGATAAGCTGCCCTGAGGCCGAACTGAGCGAGAGGGGGACGCCAGTTATCCGCCCCTCCCCTCCCCGCTTCTGCATTTACCGCGGTGACGTCGGTGAGTGCGTGCGGCTCTCGGTCGGAGGGGTTCCGCTCGCTTGTGAGCCTGCGTGGCGAGCCCGCGATGTGCTGGTTCCAGGCCGGTAGCTTTCCACTCCTGGGACCCGTTAGGCTCGGCTAGAGTTTCCACAGCGGCCTTAGAAGGCCAAACCAGCCCTAGCCTTAGGCCAAGTGGGGGTCGGTTCGGCCTATTAGGGGGGGGGGGGGTGCCACTGTGGGAATTCAGGCCGAGCCTGAGAGTACAGTTCACGCACCCAGGTGAGCCTCCCTCTCCAGCGTTCGTGGAAATGCAGAGTTTTGGAACGATCCAGGATTTTCACAACGCGCTGCACATATACGTTGAAAATATTCGAGTGCAAAAGGGGAGATGCGGCAGGGGCAGCGTGTGGCGGGGAGGGGGGTCCCGTTCTGGTCCGCCAAACAACTCGAGTGAGCAGCTTCAACACTTCTTAAGAACATCATAACCACATCACAATTCTTCACAAGATATCCACGCAAAGTTTAACACCGGCCATACCCTGGTGTCCCCCTCCACCCTCTCTCCCATCTCTTGCACACACGGGTCAGCACTTTAAACACTAGGTAGTTAAGAGTTCACAATGCGCAGCGCTACACTAACCAACGCCTACTTGATCGCTCACCGGGACATAGTACTGGTCGACAGGCTTGTCGATCCCGACCTCTGTTCTAGGCTACCGAGGAAGCACTGCACGTACAGGCGCGCTCGCTGAACCGCATGTACCAACGCACAGCCGTCTCTGCGTGGCTGTGCTACTGGAGCATCAGCCACCGCACCTAAAGTTCCGTCTTAGGTCCAGGATGAACATCTCCCGACTCGGGCTTGTCGTGGCGATTGCACGAGCGGATTGCACCCTAATATGAACACAACACGGGAAGAATAAAATAAAATAAAACTCACAAAACACCACCAGGTTGTTATTGCCGTCGAGCAGCGCCAGCTGCCGCCAAGCCAGAATCGCGTTCCCACGGTTGGCACATAAACACGGCGCGCACTGTGCCATCTAGAGTGGACGACGTGCACTGTGCCGTCTAGAGTGGACGACGTGCACTGTGCCGTCTAGAGTGGACCGTTCCAGCACCGCTCATTCACGCGGCGCCACTTTAAGGGGGCACTTATAACAAAACGCTTAACCCCCCCCCCCCCGCCTAACCCCCAGTCGGGCAGCTACCAAGGAGCGAGCTTCCTCACGCTGAGTATTTAAAAAAGAAAGAATTAGCCCTAAGTGGAACGCAACTTCGTTAGAGAAGCTGTACCCTGGTCACACGGTTTACGTTTTGATTTCGCAGGAATGCCTGAAAAGTATCCCCCCCACCGGGTCGCCAATTGACACGAGGCAAGGGGCGAGGGCGGGCCGTCATCGTGCCCAACGGGACAGCTCACGCCCCTTGAGGGGACAAAAAGAATAAAAGAGAAACATTTAAATCAAACGTCCCCCGCTAAGTGAGTGAAAGCAATTTATCTGCCACATGTCGTCCGTTGACTTACCGATAAAAGCAAAGTGACAAACTGCGGTTTTTGAATCTCACGCGCACCTGCAGTAAATCGCCCCCCCCTGCCCGCACCGTCATGACGCGCTCGGGCGCCTCCGACCGCTCCGCTCTGCGTGATTTATGGAGCGGCGCGTCACGGAAAATCGCGGGGCGCGCTTCCACTGCTAGGACGACGACGCTCCACACACACGCCATCAGTGCGATGTCTTCCGCCCCGTCTCTCCCGGCGTGACGAGATCGGACAGCGTGCAGCGCTGGGGACGGCGCGCACACGAGAAAGACGGACGGGATGGGGTGGAGTGCTGGGGGCGGGGCGCGCTGGTGACCGATTGGCTGCCACCGGCGCCTCGTTTCATTTGGTTTAACGGCCCGAATCAAAAACCTTATAACGTCAAGTTTAGAACAATGCTCGCCGCTAACCGCCACCCAACGTCCTGTGCAGCAATGGCGCTGCCCCTTTCAGTCGCTTTGTTGGGTTTTTTTTTTTACACCAACGACTCGGATCCCTTGGTGCACAGCATCACAAAGAATCAGTGGAGAATAAAAACAAATATTAAAGGGAGTGTGTAAAAAAAAAAAAAAAGCCCTCTCGTTAAAAATCAACGGTCCTCTCTCTCCTCGACAATATGCGCATTTGGTAGAAAACAGTCAAGTAGTGTGTGCTCTCCCTCCCTCTCCCTCTTCCTCGGCCGAGTAAACCTTTACAGCTGGAACGCGGGAGGCCGCTTATGCCTTCCTACACGGGGATTTCATCATCCGTGTCGCCGAACACCTGGGTGCGGACAGTGGTGGGCGACAGAAGCACCGAGTCGACGGAGGCCCCTGAGGAGCTGTCGTCATCGTCCTCCTCATCGTCCTCTTTGGGCCCTGCGCCGGCTTCCGCCCCCGAGATCGCGTGGCCGCCGCCCCCGAACCTGCCCTCCCAGCGTGGGGCCAAAGGCTCGGACACGAGCCCCACGACCGCGTCGTCTTCCGTGCCGAGAAACTCCAGGTTCTCGTCGATTTGAAGAGGCGGCTCGTCGTCATCGCAGCAGCTACCGCCGCCGCCGTGGAAGAACTTCTCGTTCTCCATGACGCCGAGGACGTCCCCCAGCATGGAGGGGCCCAGGTCCACGTGGAAGGACAGCACCGACTCGGCGTGCTTCAGCACCGGCGGGGGGCTGTCGGGAACCGAGCCGCCCCGTGCAACGCCGTTCGCCCTGCCGCCGCCGCCCTCGCCGAAGATGCGGTGGTCGGCCCTGACGGGGCCCGAACCGCCCGCGCCGCCTCCGCCGTCGGTGTGCGACGGGCGCAGCCGCTGGCCCACGAGGGGTGGCCTCTGCTTCACGGGGAACATGGGCTGGGACGGGGGCCCCTCGGCCGACTCGCTGCGCGTGAGGCTCGCGCGGGACGCCCGGGCCTCCGGCGCCGCGGTCTTCGACGCCGCCGCCGCCGCCGCCGCCGCCGCCGCCGCCGCCGCCGCCCCCCCTCGCCCGTGTCCTGCTGCTGCAGCTGGGGGAGCGATCCGCTCTGGGAGAGGGGGCGCGACGGCGCCGGCGAGCACGCGCGGCTGCTCCGCCGGCTGGCCGACAGCGACCGCTTGCTCGCGCGCAGCGTCCGCGCCAGGAAGCTCTCCTTCTTGGGTGGCGGTGGCTGAGGCGGCAGTGCCGGTTGCTGCTCGTGCTCGTCCCCCTCGGGCACCGCCGCCCAGGTACGCGTGCCCCCCGGAGGGAGCGGAGGAACGGCGTCGGGCGGGGGTGCGGGGGCCGCGTCCGGTGCCTTCGAGTCGGATTTGAGGAAGGACGTGTCGCCGAACGCGTCCCCGCCGCGGCCCACGTGCATCGTGTGCCGGAAGTCACCCATGGGCCCGCTGATCATGTCCGGGGTGAGGTCCAAGCGCGAGTGCCGCTTGTTCGGCTGGGCAGCGCCCGGAGCGAACGACCTTCGGATCGGCATGGCCGCTCCAAGCGAACGCGGTGGCGGCGACCTAGGTTTCAGCGTTGGAAGTTTCGGCCGGCTGCGGCGCGGCTACGACAAACGCGCCGCGGTCACCTCCCGTGATTATCCGCACCGCCACCACCTCTCCCCCCACCCCCCACCACCACCACCAGAACCCACCCGTAACACGTGCCCAGCACCGGGATGTCTATCGTGCTGAAAGTCAGCCAGCCAGTAACTTCCTCCTGAACTCGAAGTTTACATTCCAGGAAATCAGAGCCAGGTGGCGGAGTCGGGGGGCGCGAGTGGGGACGACGGTGGCGCTGGCTGCAGAGGGCGGCTTTTTCCCCACGGTGCGTCACGGCCCCGGGGGGTTGTGGCACACGGCGGCGGCAGAGGTGGTGGCGGCCGAGACCATTGCGGTGAGAGCGGTGCGTCAACCACCGCGCTCGGGCCTCCCGTCAGCGGGAACGCGATCGCACACCCGCCGCTCGTAGTCGTGACAGGAAGCGGTTGTGCGTGGCGCTGGCTTTCGCGGGGGGTGGGCAGTTTATCTCTCCGGCGGCGCGACGCCGTGGAAGGTTTCAGACGACGGCAATGTCAGCCCAGCGGCTGCAGAAAACGAACAAGAATGCAAAACAAAAACCCTGTTAGATAAAGAGCTCGCGTGCAATTGACGCAACCTCAGAAACAGCTCATGCGGGTGCATTAACCATAAAATACTGCCTCACCATGCTGGTTGTCACACTGTCATTTTGCCAAACTTTTAAAAGGACTCGCAAGTTACGTTCGGGATGACTCGCGAACCACGTAGAAATCGTCGCCCCCAACAACAGAAAGTTACCAGAAACCTCCTGAGAGAAGTCTTGAGGCTCAGTGAGGCATTTGTGAGTAAACAAGCGTAGCAGTAATAATACTATTATTACTGTTATTGCCATAAAAGATAAGACCTGTCGTGAATACGACTCAACCTGGGAGCTTTTACACGCACTGCTAAACCAATTACCAGGTTACACATTAACCAAGCAAGCCTGGTATCCCAGTGAGCCCCTGCTGCTTGGCATCCTACCCCACATGGCTCATCGTGGGGTCTTTCCCGTGGTGATGTCTGGCTGGGGGGTGGGGGGGGGGGTTCTCTCTGGGCACCCTCCTCCCTCCGGCGCCAGGGCCTCGAAATCTTCAAGCAGCAGTAGTCACGATCTCTCGGCAACCAGGGCCCAGCGGGGGTCGCGCGAGGGGAGGAGGGGAGACGGAGGAGATGGGGAAGGGATGAGGGGAGAAGATGGCATGTAGATGAAGGGATGAGGTCAAAGGGAGGAGTGGGTGAGGACATGATGGATTACGGTGAGAGTGAAGAGACTGGCGGAGAGGGGGGGGATGTGAGGTGTGGGTGAGGCGATGGTGATGATGATGGGTGTTGATGAGGTGAAGATGATTGAAGATTACTCCACGTTCTTCTGGGGACCGGGTGTTGATGTAAGATCACGACTGAACATCTGTGGTCTCGTTGAAATAGAGCAGCACATCATCTTCATCATTCCCGCTTGATGAGGATGAAAGCAGCGGTGGTCATGACGCTGCTGCCGATGATTGATAGCAGTGATGGTTCTAAAGCTACTGTTGATGATGATAGCAGTGGTGGTTGTGATGCTGCTGATGATGATAGCAGTGATGGTTGTAAAGCTACTTTTGATGATAGCAGTGGTGGTTGTGACGCTGCTGATGATAGTAGTGATGGTTCTAAAGCTACTGTTGATGATGATAGCAGTGGTGGTTGTGACGCTGCTGATGATAGTAGTGATGGTTCTGAAGCTACTGTTGATGATGATAGCAGTGGTGGTTGTGACGCTGCTGAAGGGATGAGGTCAAAGGGAGGAGTGGGTGAGGACATGATAGTAGTGATGGTTCTAAAGCTACTGTTGATGATGATAGCAGTGGTGGTTGTGACGCTGCTGATGATAGTAGTGATGGTTCTAAAGCTACTGTTGATGATGATAGCAGTGGTGGTTTTGACGCTGCTGCTGATGATAGTAGTGATGGTTCTGAAGCTACTGTTGATGATAGCAATGGTGGTTGTGACGCTGCTGATGATGGTAGTGGTGGTTGTGAAGCTGCTGCTGCTGATGAGGACAGTGGTTGTTGGCAAGATGCTGCTGATGATAGTGGTGGTTCTGAAGCTGCTGCTGCTGCCGCTGATGATGAGGGCAGTGGTTGTTGTCAAGATGCTGCTGATAGTGGTGGTTGTGAAGCTGCTGCCGATGATGATGATAGCAGTGGTGGTTGTAAAGCTACTGATGATGATTAAACTGGACTGCCGAGTGTGAATTGTAGTGTGAAAGTGTAGCCATGGGAGTACGTGGTGTAACGATGGTGGGAGTGCCGTGTAGGTATGGGTGACAAGTCGTGCAGTCAGTGAATGTTACTCGTAGCAAGTGTCGCAGTGTGCTAGCGAGTGGCGTGTGTGCGTGGTATAGTCAGTGTGCCAGGGAGCTTAATACAGTCGTGTTAGTAGCTGCCACTGTTGTAAATGAGACCCGATCCTGGTTTCTTGACTTCCTGTACCTTCCTGGTTAAACAAAGCGAACTTGACACTTGTAGAATGAATGGTAAGCGTAACAATGCGCGTGACAAAACTTGCATATCTGTCAACTCCTTATCAGCGCCTAACTTATTGCAGACAAATTCAGACCTTATTGGTCACCCCGTGCCCCTTATAAATCTCAACATTCATCCTACATAGACCCCATCACAAGGCAGAAACACGAACAAATAGTCAAAACAATTTGTTGTTGCCCGTATTGAAACGGCTGTACGCCGTATGGACCTGAACACTCAATTTCCCTGTACAAGAATACGGGGTAAACCGTGTGGGTTGACACGGTGTGAGCTAGCCGTGTTCTAGTCGTAAGAGCAAGTGCTGTGGTAGACTGGGGTGTGCGTAGCGTTGAGGGTTACCGCTAAGTAGCCGGCGTGGTGAGCCCTACCAATGATGAGCACCGGTGAGTGTGCACGGTTGGCCAGGTACGGTGCGAAAGAAGTTCAACATACTGTAGATACACGGGAGCGCGTGCCAAGAGTTAAGCGTCGGTACGTGCTCGTGATTTCGCGAGTCGCATGGGGTTGCCAGTGTGTCGTCGTAACAGACGGTGTTGATGGGAGTGCAATTAGCGAGCTCACGAATGCGTGCGGAGTGGAGAGCGGTGTTGTGATGTTGAGTATTCGAGTGGAGAGCGGTGTTGTGATGTTGAGTATTCGAGTGGAGAGCGGTGTTGTTGTGATGTTGAGTATTCGAGCGAACCGCGTGCGCGTTGAACTTCTTCCGCACCGTACGTAGTAACCAACCGCGCTAATTGGCGGTGCGCGTTCGAGGTCCATCGAAACTAAAACACAAAACAATGTCGATCTAGAATGATGATGATGATTTAAAAAGTGCGTCGTAGCCGCCAGCGGCTTCATAATATCGGAAGGAAAGAGCGTTCCAGACGGCCGCAGAAGCCGCGCTTCTGCTGTTGCGGTGCAAACGAGTGGCGTGGTGGCGAGTGGGGCTGAAAGATTAATCGATTTCAAATCGATTAATCGCAATTCTAAACGATGCGATTAGCAAATCGCAAAGGCTGAGATTTCTTCGCGATTTGAAAAGTCCTGTTACTTTCTTGTCGGAATTGTTTTTTTTATTTCATTATTGCAACTCGATTTATTTTACTTAACACTTGTTCTATGCTTGAATGTTTTATTGCAATTAAAACATTTTTATAAATGCATGTTGGAAGCAATTCATATCTTTTAAGTTCTCATCCTTGCATTAGAATATATAGAGCAGTTCATATTTTGACGATGTTACTGCTCCATCGCATGTTTAAAATGTTATTACACAGTGAATATCGAACTGAAGCGTGACTAATAAAAACATTTAATCGCAAATCAAGTCGCATCTGCCAAAAAAAAAATCGCAATTAAATTATTCCCCTCAAATCGTTGAGCGGCTAAAGTCGCATCGTAGCGGTGAGCAGCATTGATAGCGCGATGCGTTCGGCGATTGGTGGCGTTGAGGAGGCGCGATGAGTTAGCCGTATTATTTATTGTCTTGGCGGTAGCTGGGAGAATGTTACGAGTGGCTGAGTGAGCGACCGAGGTCCCTCGGGTTACAAATAAAGTGTGTGGCAGTGAGGGACGACGACGACTACGACGACTCGTGAAAAGGGCGCAGAGGCTCGCCTCGGCTCCTCCGCTATCCTCGCAACTCCACTCACCCGCGCCCCGACCGTGCTTCTCCTCCTCCTCGTCGTCGTTGTCGACGTCGTCGTCGTCGTCCACCAACCACCACAACCTCGTCCACCTCGTCCACCGACCTTCTCGTAGCAGCCGCGGACCGAGGGGGGCCGAACAAGAAGGGCGAGCAGGCGCACAACAGTGAGCGGCGGAGGCGGCGTTCGCTGCGGGGCGGTAACTCGGCCTCCGGGGCTCCACCACCGCGGAGGGATAACAGTTTGAGGGGGCGGGGCTACTGTGACGGTTACGTCACCGCGCGGGAGGGCACCACCCCCCCTCCCAGCCCCGCCCCTCCCCCACCAGGCTCCACGCGCTCACTGTTGCCATGGCTACGGCCACGCCGAGGGGGTCTTGCAGAGGGGTCTCCAGTGAGGGGGTCTCTCTCTCTCTCTTAGGCACACCGGGTCAACCCGTGCGCTTTATACCCGGTGCTCCGTACGGCGCACAGCCGTTTCAATGCGTGCAACAAATAAATTGTCTATTTGTTTGTGTTTGGGGCCGTCCATAAATGACGTCACGCGATTTTGGACGATTTTTTACCCCCCCCCCCCCCCACCATTCGTCACATGGCGTCACAAAAAGTCAGACCCCCCCTCAAATATGACGTCACAAAGCTCTGCCCCCCCCCCCAAAAAAATATAAAACATGCTTCAAATCGCTTTAAACTATTGTCATTGTAGTGCGTATTTAATGTGGCGCTGCACTCTGATGTTGTAGGAGAAAACATTTATCAAAAAGTCTATTTAATCAAGTAGAACGTGTTGTCTATATTTATTTAAAGTTGCGCATTTTGATGTGACGTCACATTTCTCAAACCCCCCCCCCCCCTCGTCACACAACATCACAAATGTCTGACCCCCCCCCCCACCTCTAGGTGCATGACGTCATTTATGGACGGCCCCTTTCTCCCATTTAAGTGTTAACATTTTACTGGTAGGAAACGTAGTGGACTGGAAGCCCAACCGGGATTAATTAACAGGAGGCAGGGGATGAATTGTGTATGTCTGTGGATGTCTGTCCACGTGGGAGGGGTGGGGCTGGGTGGAGAGGGGAGGGTAGGGAGGGGCTGGGTGGGGAGGGGCTGGGTGGGGAGGGTGGGGCTGGGTGGGGGCTGGGTGGGGGCTGGGTGGGGAGGGTGGGGCTGGGTGTGGGGTGGGAGGGGTGGGGCTGGGTGGGGAGGGGCTGGTCACCCCGTGGTGCCCTTATAAAACTCAACGTTTAACCTACTCACGCCGGCTTGTGCCCGCCCTCACAGTCGGGCATATTGTGCGGAATACACCACGTGGTGCCGCCGTTGACCCTGGCCATTGACCGAGCAACCCAACGTTCCTACCAGCTCCCTCCGCAGGAGAATGTGTTTTTTTAAGCGCCCTGTATGGACGGCTGTCTACGAGGGGGGCCTCTTGTATCAAGACACAACCACAGCACCGGGTCGGTCCGGGCTTCGTTCTTGGCTCTTGAAGCTCGTCACCTCCCCTCGTGCTCTCTCCTTTTACCCTTCTCGAGCTCCCTTTGTGACTATGCAAAGTGACTATGCACAGTCAACACATAGTCACTTTAAGATGTTTTTCTTGTTCGTGTTTTTGTTTTTTTGTTTAGTTGCGGTTGCACCCGATTCAAGAGCCGAATGGCTCACAGGGCTATACCAAAATAAAGAAACTGAAAACTGAAACTGACGTAAGATGAACGTTGAGATTTGTAAGGGGAACGGGGGTGACCAATAGGGTCTGAATTGGTCTGTAATATGGTACAGGGGCCACTGATAAGGGGTTGACTGGTATACTAGGGTCCCCTAGTATACTAGGGTCCCCTAGTATACCAGCCTCCTGTTCCCCCAATGATTCAGCCCGGCCTTGCAAACCAAGGCGTCGTTTCATGGTGGACGCGGACGTGACCCGGGATTTAAAATTCACCACTGCACGCAACGACTAACTATTCCAAGCAAGCCTGACGCTGCTGATGAGACACTGAACGTCGAAACCTGTTCAGAGTTTGCTTGTGTTGAACCAATGACTCAAGCAAGCCTGACGCTGCTGATGAGACGCTGAATGGTTGAAACTGATCTAGAGTTTGCTTGTGTTAAACCTAAGACACAGATACGCATGACTCTGCTGATGAGACACTAAATGTCGAAACCTGTCCAGTTTGCTTGTGTTGAGCCAATGGTTCAAGCAAGACTGACTATGCTGATGAGACAGTGGATGGTTGAAACCTGTCCAGAGATTGCTTGTGTTGAATCCCAATCTTGCTGAAAGTATGTTCCCCCAGAAAGCCACGTGAAGGGCGGGATGGGTAAATAAATATATATAAAAAATTCATGTGGAGGTGACAGATATTGGAAGGATGTTTATTGTATTCTTTTGTATTTTTAACTCACCGTAGAGAATTGGTTTGAAGTCCGATACTCACTTTATATATCAATTACATAACCTCGACGTAAAGCCACCATTGCTTTACTCGTAAATCTCATCAAGTATGTGTGAAAGTGAATATGGGATATTTGCGTGATTTTTCACGTCTGCAGAGGAATCACGGGTAAAGATGTTAAAGATGAAATTATTAACTGGTCCACTTCACATCACGTGGTGAGCAGCAGAGGCAGGGGCAGTACTGTAACAACCATTGTTGTTCTGTGCTTCTATGTTCCCTCACTTTTTCAATCCGCATTCACCAGTGAATTTCTATGGTTAAATAATCCCGCCCGACATAAGGGTGATGATATATTTACCAGTGTCAATTATACGCATTTTGTGTAGAAGTCAAAAGTGGTTGCCCTATGGATGGACTCTCCCCGGCCATAGGGACGTGGACATTCCACTACTGGCTGAGCAGGGCTGTACTGTATATAGGACTTTATTAGCACCGTACGTAGCCAACCGTGCTGATCGGAGGTGCCAATGGCTCCGTCGGACCGTAATGAACACCACAAAACAGCAGCGCTCGTAACAACCAACAGTTTTATTTGAACGTCACTCAAAACGTGAGGAAACACCTTGGTTATTATTGTTATTTATACACAGTACCGTTGTTCAAAATCAGCTTCGACGTCAAAAATCAACAAACTATGAAAAAGGAAGCTAAAGTTACACGGGGGGTGGGGGTAGCTTGGGGTGGGGAGGGGGCCCTTGTGAAGTTTTGCCCCCCCCCCACCACCACAAACACTCTGCCATCCCAGAGGGACAATGTGCCACATCATAGGGCCACTTGGGACCCGATGCCATCTCAGGGCCAACTATGGCTGCCACCTGTCTGGGTTTTGACCTGTTTGACCTTCCCGGGTTTGACCTGTTTGACCTGCCCGGGGTTTGGTCCGGACAGCCTGGGGATTGGCGTAACCGTGTTGACCTTCATTGCAAGATACTTGCACTGTTTTGAAAGAAAGAAAACCGGGCTGTGTTTGGTTTGTGGAAAAGGTGGCAAACCGTACAGCTATACCCCAAAGTCGGTGTGCCACCTCAGAGCCAACCCAGGGGTATTGTGTCTCCTCTGGGTCTCGGGAACACTGTGCCACCCTCAGGTCGCACCCAGGGACAGTGTGTCACCCTCATGTCGTACCCAGGGACACTTTGTCACCCTCAGGGCCACCCCAGGAACAGTGCCACCTCTGGGCCAATCCAGGGACACTGTGTCACCCTCAGGGCACACCCAGGGACACTGTGTCACTCTCAAGGCGCACCCAGGGACAGTGTGTCACTTCAGGGCCAATCCAGGGACACTGTGTCACCCTCAGGGCACACCCAGGGACACTGTGTCACTCTCAAGGCGCACCCAGGGACAGTGTGTCACTTCAGGGCCAACCCAGGGACACTGTGTCACCCTCAGGGCACACCCAGGGACACTGTGTCACCCTCAGGACGCACCCAGGGACACTGTGTCACTTCAGGACGCACCCAGGGACACTGTGTCACCCTCGGGGCGTACCCAGGGACACTGTGTCACCCTCAAGGCACACCCAGGGACACTGTCACCCTCAAGGCGCACCCAAGGACACTGTGTCACCCTCAGGACGCACCCAGGGACACTGTCACCCTCAAGGCGCACCCAGGGACACTGTGTCACCCTCAAGGCACACCCAGGGACACTGTGTCACCCTCAAGGCACACCCAGGGACACTGTCACCCTCAAGGCGCACCCAAGGACACTGTGTCACCCTCAGGACGCACCCAGGGACACTGTCACCCTCAAGGCGCATCCAGGGACACTGTTATTTCAGAGCCAAGACAGGGATAATGCGTCACCTCGGGGCTCCGAGGGACACTGTCACCCTCAGGGTCCATCCCCCATGAAAACTGTGTCACCCTCAGGGTCCATCACCCAGGGACAATGTCTCAGCTCAGGGTCCCCCATGAACACTGTCACCCTCAGGGTCCATCACCCAGGGACAATGTCTCAGCTCAGGGTCCCCCATGAAAACTGTGTCACTCTCAGGGTCCATCACCCAGGGACACTGTCACCCTCAGGGTCCTTCACCCAGGGACAATGTCTCAGCTCAGGGTCCCCCATGAACACTGTGTCACCCTCAGGGTCCATCACCCAGGGACAGTGTCTCAGCTCAGGGTCCCCCTCAGGGTCCATCACCCAGGGACAAAGTCTCAGCTCAGGGTCCCCCATGAAAACTGTGTCACCCTCAGGGTCCATCACCCAGGGACAATGTCTCAGCTCAGGGTCCCCCATGAAAACTGTGTCACCCTCAGGGCCACTTGCGACAATGCGCCACGCTCAGAACCCACCCAGGGACACTAAAGTCACCCTCATAGCGCACCACCCACGGACACCGTGTAAAGTTAGAATCTCCCCTCTCCCCGCCCGGGACAATGTGCTATGGTGGAGTCCCAGGGGGAGTGTGGGGTCCAGATAAAGTGCATCAGGTGGTGTGGCTTTGCCGAAGGCGTAGTGCTACACCTACAGGACAATAACTGAACAGAACGCCCAGGCCAGCGATACCATCGGCGCTAAATTACCGATGGCACATTCCTAGCGGGGAGCCGACTCCCTGCAGCCCTGGAGCCTCCCCGGGTCCTTGCCCTGAACCCCTGGCGCAGACAGGGTCTCACCTCCTCCACGTATGATCATTATGCACCCTGCACTACGACAGAGCACCCTGCAGCCTCACAGACCCACAGAGCACCCTGCACCAACAGCCTCCTGCACCCTCACAGACCCACACAGAGCACCACGTGCCACCACAGAGCACCCTGCACCCTCACAGAGCACCGTGCACCACCAGAGATCACCCTGCACC